ATAAATAATAAAACATGTTATCTCTAATACCTCTTGATTTTGTATGTGGCACCTTAATGTCAATTTGTTCAAATGTTGAATAAATTCCTAGAAGTTATAACATAAATATGACCTTTACAGAAGTTATAAAAAGGTTAAAACTGAACATTTTTCTACTACTTTATTATTCAAGTTTATGCTATAATTATAAATTTGTATAAAAAAGGTTTTGAGGATTGTAAAAGTACCAAAATATTGCTTTCACATCATTTAAATAATACAAACGCTTTCATGGGAAGAAAAAATTTAATAATTCGACAAAAATCATAGCACTTACTTTTTTAAAATCAAATATACTTTTATTCTTAAATTCAATTAAAAGAATAAAAATGATGTATTTTGTATTTTGGCTGTGGAATTTAAGTGCTGTCAGATGTTATGTATTTTAGTTATTTATTTAATTATACTAAAATAGCAGTTAAAATTATTTGAATTATTACAACCAATAAAATACTCATTGTTAGTTTTATACTATCTCTAAATTTGAATAATTTTGTGTTAAGTGATAGTAAACTCAACTGCTACTATTCTAAGCATATGCTTTATTATCTCGAAACAAAAGTAATTTATTTGAAAAAAATTGCATCGAAAAATCCAATTCCTGTTAGTATAATTGAAGAATTTGAAAACGAAATAAAAAATATGAGAGAAGTTGTTTTAACTTTGTTGGAAAATATATATTATGATTATAAAAATGATATCGAAGTTTCAAATTTGCAAAGGCGTTTTAATCCATATTCCTTCGCATATGGATTGATTGCATTAAATTTATATTTAAATAATATTTATAACACTTTAAGATTCTATACATATGTCGAATTGAGAAAGGCAGAAAAAAAATTAACAGGGTACAGACTTTTTATAAGAGAATTTCGAAAAAATACCCATTATATAACTCATTATCTGAGACACAGCCTTATACATGATTGTATAAATGATAAAATGAATTATTTTAATTCACAAGATTTCTGTTATGACCATAGATTTGATGACAAACATCCAAAATTTGATTATTTAATTAAATTATTACCAAAAGTATCAGATTACAATAAAAAACATATTGTAAATAGTAAATTGGAAAAATTGGAAACGTTGAAAAAGTTGGATGAAACCCAAGTTGAGTTTAAACGTGTAATAATAGAAAAACCAGAACGAAATTCCCATCCAGTAGACAAAATACAAAATCGCTTACATCCCAAGAGTATTTTACTATCAGGCTTATTTCAAGATAAAAGACCCACTAATGGGATAGATTTATTAACTGGTAGTTCAGACCCTATGGACTTACTAAGGAACGTTACCATAAGTGTAAAACTAAAGAAAGGACAAACAGCAAATATAACTACATTATATGAGATGATACAACGCGATTTTAACGTAGAATGTGTTTATTCATATCAGCAACAAATTCTAGCTGCGACAATTCACCCTGTGTACTCTTTAATATGTACATTAGCTAATTTACTGAAAAAAATATATTTTAGTGCCGATGTGGATTTCTATGAAATCGAAACTAGATCTAATGTATTTGAATCCCAATTAAATCTTATGAACGAATCAATTAAAGAAATCATTGGAAATTTAGTAGACTTAAAAATATTTCCTAAAAATATGCAAAGTCATTTAGAAGTCACTTCAATGCATTTTAAAAAGATTTCTTCTGATAATATTAGTAATCTAAAACTCAAAGGGATTGATGAACTTTATATCAGGTGTGCTGATGTAATGAGAATTAATTTATTGATGTTTGATGATATAGTGAAAAATATTTAATTTTATAATAAAGATGAATGCAATGATGTAATAATACGACTAAACAATAAAATCAATGAAGTCCAATTATATGTACAAAATTTAAATTATTATAAAGAAGACTATCATAATATTTTTCATTACATAATATTGATGTCCGGTTTTTATGCGTTTAATGATAGGCTACGTTGCAATATAATAGAAAAAAACGGTAGCACAGTAGGGTTTAGGCACAGTGTGAACGAGGCATAGATGGGACAAGTATAGATGATATCTGACAGTGATTGAAATCACTATCATAAAAAACGCTTCGATGCAAATCTGTAGATAGTGTTTCCTTTAGAGAAATTGGTGGATTATTCCAAAAGCAACATCAACTCTTATTTCTTTAATTATATCCTGATTAGTAGTTCTTTGATTTTAAAATATAATATATCAATAAATACTAATTATAGTTTTTAAATTTAGTATGAAATTGTGAGGCCAGCTATGATGTATGGTTCATAGTGTTGGGCGTTTGATAAGAAAGTAGAGCAGAGAATAAGTGTAATAAAGATGAGAATGCTTAGTTAGATGAGTGGAGTGCTTAGAGAAGATAGGATAAGGAACGAGCATATAAGAGGAAGTATAGGTGTTGCGTGAATCGTGGATAAGATGATAGAAAATAGACTTAGATTGTTTAGTCATGTTATGAGGAGAGAAGAATCGGAAGCTGTAAGAACAGTTATAGAAATGAATGTTGAAGGAAGAAGAGATAGAGGAAGACCAAAAAAGAGATGGAGGGATGCTATTGAATGCGATTTGAGGACAGCTGATGTGAGCGTAGAAGATGTGGGAGATCGTGTTATGTCGAATCTTAGGATAAGGGTGGCCGACCCCAAGTAGTTGGGATTAAGGCAAAGAAAAAGAAAAAGATTACCAGAAATCCCGGTGGCAATTGACATAATATGATTGTTGTTTCGGAATGTACAATTTAGCGTTTAGTTGGGTTTAAATAATATAGCGTCAAATCAATTACCTACTCTATCGCTTGTATATTAATATACACTACACTTTAATGATACAATAAATAAATAAACTCACACATACACACATATGCATTTATAACATTGTGTCTAATGTAAGTATAACATGATAAAAAGTATCCGTAAAATGAAAAAAATGGAATATAAATTTTATTACTCATATTAAATGTAATGTAACTCGAAAAATATTTGTTTAAATGAAAAAATATAAGATTATATTTTTATTTATAATTGTCTTTTAAACAACTTTTGTACGAAACTTTTTTTTGTAAGTTAAATTTTTTTTTTTGAGAAAATTATGAAAGCTCATATTTTTGAACTTTTGCGAGGATTTAAAAAAAAAGCTCAATTCCAATCTTGAGTACTATTAGTATGTCATTATAAATATTTTAATTCAACTTTTAAAAAAACAAAATTTGGTAGGAAATTTTTTCCGCAATTTTTCCTTTGTTGACTGGCCTAGATGTCAATTTTAAACTTGTAATTGAGTTAAAAGTTATGGTAATATATTCAATTTTTTTTACTTTAAACTTTCATAAATCTTTATCAAAAATTTTTCATCAACTTTAAAGAACCAAAAAAATAGGTTAAAATTGAAAATTTGAACTGATTATTTTTAACATATTAAAAATCAAATCAGTAATAATTTGAAAACAAATTTTTTTTTTTTGTTTATAATTCATTTTTTTATTTGTAAATATGCTTGTTTTTTTACAAACTAGTGATAATCTTAAAAAAAAAGAGATGATTTAAATTGACTAAAAGTAGACCAGTATTCATAATTAACAAAAAATTAGTTTTTGAAAAATTTTGCATCAAACCCTTCTATTTTTTTATACGTTTACTATATTAGCAATGTAATATACAACTACTTAATAATTAATTAAAATTTCTTCGTAAAAATTACGATATAAAATTATTGAATATCAATTTCATACTAAATAGTTACTAAAGTAAGTATTTATTTATATATATTATATTCATACATCAATGAACTGCTTTTGGAATAATCCAACAATTTTTTCAATTTAAACACTATCTACTGATTTGCATCGAAGCATTTCTTATAATCTTTATTGTCCATGTGAGTTTCACTCGTCTGATAACGAGTATCTGGACGGCAGACAGTGACTAGGCCATCATCTGGGCCACCCGTCCCGCCCACGGTACGGAAAACCTCTGTGTGGTTTTCGGCAATGCGTCATCAACTTGCGTTTCAGCAGCTGCCTACCCGCCTTGAGTTGGTGCACTCTGGCCCGGGCAAGTCAGGCTATAGGTTGCCACCCTGGTGAACCGGAGACTTCACCGCCCGATTTCTTATGATCTATATATATAAAAATAAAACGGTAGCTCAGTGGGGTTACGACACAATATGGACGTGGGATAATTGGGACAAGTATAGTTGATACCTGTCAGTGATTAAAACCACTATCATAAGAAACGCTTCGATGCGAATCTGTAGATAGTGTTTAATTTTAAGAAATTGGTGGTTAATTCCAAAAGCAATATAAACTCCTATTTCTCTATTTATATCCTAATTAGTAGTTTTCTGATAAGTATAATATATGAATAAATACTAATTGTTGTAATTGAATTTAATATGAAATTGATATTCAATAATTTAATACTGTAATATTTAAAGAGAAATTATAGAGTAATTGTACATTTCGTTAACTTTTCAAAAAGTTATGACTATTTTAAGAAAATTTTTTTTAAAAAATGTCGAAATTTAACGATTTTAAATATCATAATTTTTGAGGATCTCCGCCATTTATAGTGAACGAAGGAAATTTTTTTCTAATTTAAAAGACAATGTCTTCAATTAGATTTGTGATCGTTTTACGTATCGTTATCAAAATTGCTTGCATACCTTAGGTCGTCTAAATTAGTACAAAAATATGTAAGGGGGCAAAAGTGTTACAGAATTGATTAAATGCTGAATAAGATCAAAAGTCTAGTAAGCAATATATTTTAAAGATAAAACTCCTACTTGTATAAAGAAGCGTCACAATTTAGTCTGGATGAATGAAAAATAGACAATTTTCGAATACCAATTCCGAATAAAATAATTTATGTAAAATAATTAATTATTTTTCGCGCTAAAAAATATTATTAATATATTAAAATTATATTAGACTACTTCACTAAGATATTTAAAAAATTAATAAAAAAAAAAAACCGTAATATCTCCTTTATTATTTAACACAAATTTTGTTACTTTTATAAAATAAATTGTTTGCTTAATGAGTTTTTATTATATCTTAATTATTAAAAAAAACTTATAGTGTATACACAATATAAAAATTGTTTTACTAAATTCTGAAATCTATAAATAATTACGTATATGTGAAGTTGAGGTAATTCTTTCGTATTTTAAGTTCGTATTTTGTGTAACCTGTTTGGAATTTATTATAATATCCATTTAACATTGTAGTTTCCGTGTCATTTAATAATGCTCTAAAATATTTTTTGTATACAGTTATTTCTGGAATGTCGCCGGACAAAATTGCCTTCTTTAACTTAGCGATATTTCTACGATCTGCCTTAGTTATAATTCTACATTCAATGCGCAACAGCATATAATAATCTGGTTCTTGGCAGCGTCGAAGGTACCAAAAACGTGCCATAAATTCTTCGTCAGTCATACCTTTCTTAATTTTAGACTTTAAATTATTCAACTCTTTTTCAGTAAGGGAACGAAATCGGTATGGGCTTTGGCTTTCAAAATCATGATCTTCCAAATTAACTATAAATATATACTTTTATTATATTATCCAATAATTATTTTTTTTAAATATTGTAATGTAAAAAATTACCTACCAATATCTTTATAATATATTATCTTTTGCAAACAAAAAGGACAATTACCATCTCGTCTTAAGAATTTATTTGCGCAATAGTTTCCTGTAATGTGACCACAGGGGTAAAAGGTAACCGAGTTCTCCTCCGACTCACAAAAATGACATAACAAATCTATACAAATGTTGCACGTTAAAAGTATTTAGATAAATTGGGTTATCAAAATTAAAACGAATATTCCATGAGTTGACTAATCCGATTAACAAGAATTTGTTGATTATTGGCTAATTAATTTACGACTGTATATAATAAATTTATGAAGATTTAATTGACAAGTGATAGTTAAATCTGTTACTAACAACTTAATAATTTTAATAATCAATGAATGAATTTATTCATCATACTTACAGTATTTGGATTAAAGAATAGAAGTATATTTTCAATTACATACCATCTGGGATTTTTTTTGTATTTTCTATAAATTAAACAGTTAACAAATTTCACTATTATTACATAAATGTCTATTTTATTATGTATTTTATTCTTTAAATGTAAACGTATGTATTAAATTGGCTAATAAAATAGAAAATTATTTAAAAAATAATAACTAATCGATAACAATTTTTGAACTAATACTTTCTCGTCCAAATTCGGACTTCCGACTAGATACAAAATATAAGGCTATTTTTAAAAACATTTAGCCGTTTAGAAACTTGTTTTCAAATGTGTTTATAAAGACAGTTTTTATTGTACAATTTAGACTTATTTCATGTTTATTAGTGTATGTAATTAACACCCTTATAGGGCTAAAAATTAGCCTGTTAATAAATTTAATTGAATAAATAAATATAATTATGTTTTCAGTTACCTTTTGACATATCTTCTGAATTCTCTATAAATTAAACAATTAAAATTTTACCATTATCATAAAAACGTATAATTTTTAAAATATATTTTAGTTTAAATAAAAACTAAATATGATTACTTATTAGCTTCGATGCGAAGCTGAGAAGGTATTAATTTTACTATGATGTGTTTTTTTTGTCTGTTTCTTCTTTGTCACTTTTTATCAGCTCTCACTGGACCGATTTCTTTCAAAAATGCGTCAAAAGATCACAAATCGTATCTAGTTGAAGACATTATCTTTAAAAATTAAAAAAATGTCTCTCGTTCCTCGTAAATGGGAGAAATCTCCAAAAAAAATTACAAATTTAAAAATCGGTAAATGTTTTCATTTTTTTCACTTTTTTTTCTTAAAACTTCCATAACTTTTTCAAACATTAACAAATCAACATAATATTTATTTATATTGAAACCATAGATATTTTCCTTTCATTTGATATCATTTTTTTGAAAATCTAACACTTATCCTGCTCATTGGGGGGGATTTAAAATATCAACTTTTTTACAAAAAAGTAACTTTTTCAACTCAATTTTTGAAAATGTTCCGGAAATACTGCGTCCTTTAAATATATATTAAATTAAAGCTTATTTTATGTACTATAAAATAAAAAAAAAATTTGTCCCGACATCTTATCTACTATGTGCAAATTGCTGTCGAAATTTAAAAAAAAATGTAATATTTGCGATAAAAATCACCTTCTATAAGGTAGTTTTTTGTACTTAAAACTGCCTTAACTTTTTCAAATATTAACAAATCAACATAATATTTTTTTATATTGAAACCTTAGGTAATTTCCTTTTGTTTGATATCATTTTTTTTGTATATCTAACACTTATTCTGCTCACGGGGGGGATTTAAAATAGCAACTTTTTTACAAAAACTAACTTTTGAAAATGTTCCGGAAATACTGCGTCCTTTAATCACATATAAAATTAAAGCTTATTTTATGTACTCCAAAATGAAAAAAAAAATTTGTCCCGACGACCTATCTCCTATGCGCAAATGGCTACCGTATTCAAAAATATGCTATTTTTGTATTAAAATTATGGGTTTTGTATTTTATTTTAATAGCAGATCACGTATTTTTTGGAATAATCCACCAATTTTTTAAAATTAAACACTATCTACAGATTTGCATCGAAGCGTTTCTTATGATAGTGATTTTAATCACTGTCAGATTAAATCTATACTGGACCCAACTATGCAATATCTCCACTATGTCGCGACCCCACTGTGCTACCGTTTTTTTATTTAAAATGTATAATTGATCATGTGGCAATAATAAAATATAAAACCAAAATTTTATTTAAGTAATTTTTTTTATCATGTTTATAATAACTCAAATATATACTAATAAATTTCTAATTACTGTTTATTGAATCTTCATTTGGGTCACCTAAAAATTAAATTACTAGATAAAATATTTTTTCATAAATGTCGAAATACATAATTCGTATTTTGTAAAATATTAAAAGTATTATTGTCGCTGGTCATTGCTGTCTTAGGATCATCCTCGATCGGAGACGTAAATTACTTTTACGAAATGAATTTAAAAAAAATATTACTAATTTAATTATATTTAACATAAAATAAAATAACAATTAATTCTTAAGTATTTTAAAAAGAACAGTAAATAATAATAATTACTACTATACTATATAATAATTATAAAACAAAAATATATTTTGTATACTAAAAGTATAATTATTATATGCAAGGTGAATTAAAAGTTGTTTAAATTACACAGTTAAAACATAGATTGAATGATATAAAGTTTTTATTTCAAAATTAATATTATTTTAACTGTATAGTGATCATCAGAAATGTTTTATAACATAAATTTGTAACATTTGATTCAATAATCATATTGATTTAATTTTTTTAAACATTTTTTGTAATCTTAGACATGCTAAACGCATAGTTTTTATTTTATTATATTAATTTAATTATTTTAATATTTAAACATAGTCTAAGAAGGTAATAATTATTAAAAACGAAATAATATTTATATCAAAAGTGTTGTCAGTTATTTTATCATCATAATTAGTTCACCATCAGCATCAATATTGACCTTGTTACTCGAGAATACATACACGTCTGTAGAGCAGAAACAATCTATTACTCTTTCAAGATAAGTGCCACGCCTAGATTAAAGGAGTCCGAAGAGGTTATATTCGTTTTCATTAACTTTAACTGCTGAACATGCCCCTGAAAAACATGTTCTGGCTAACAACTATTTAAATACGGCATGTGGCTTCAACTCTCAGCATCACTATAACACAGTGGCTGTGCAATGACTGCAGACAATATTCTGTACATGCACCCACAGCGCAGAGATTGGCCTGATGTACTAGATATTGACTAGATAAGACTGCTGCATTCTACAATAAATATCACAAACAATCAAAAACAACCAATCATTCCATCATAATCAGTTCCTGCTAGAAGTATCGTAGTCCACTGTTATTTCTACATCATCAATAGCAACCCAATAAACTGTTTGAGGTTTTCCAAAACCATCATCTACCAACTTTAACCATTCACTTGAAGATCAAACTAGACATTGGCCATGCGCTTAGTCAACTAACATAATCATCATGGTTATCGAGTGACAATAGGTAATACCGACTCCAAATAAAATAACATTTTCAAATACCATCTTCCTTCTGAAATACTCAGAGAAATATATGGAAAGAAACAACGCTATAGGGACCTAAACCTCTTAAAAAACCAAAGTAATCCAAGCATATGAACAGTGCAGTTAGCATTTTACCATTTACTAACTGGTGTAGCCAAATGATTGCCACAAACATGAACAATCTATCAACTTATGCAGTCATGTTGCACGCTGAGAAAGCCTTCAATCGCTTCTGGCATCATAATCTTCTTTAAAAAATTTACAAACTAAGTACCACAGATTTGAAAATCATAATCAAATCTTTTCTCTAAAACAGAAGTTTCACCGTCTATGTCGAAGAAAACACTTCTAGCATGCCCAGCATAGCAGCGGGCTCATAACTTGTCTCCAACAGTATTCTTCACCTACATCAACTATGTTCCTCTTATCTCAAACACTCAACTCGCCCTTTTCATGGACAATACCATTTTTACAATGAAATATTGAAACTAATCCAGAGCAACAATCCAACTACAAAAAAAAAACTTAATACAGCTATTAAATGGTATCAAATCTGGCGTCTAAAATTAAACCAAACTAAAATTAATCAGGCCGTGTATTAAAGCAATGCTTATCATTTTATGAAAATATTTAATAGGGCAGGGAAAATTACATTAAGACAACTCAAAAATAATTTTCAAGTTGCGCCCTTGTATAAAATATGATTTTTAGTGTACATTTGCATGCTTATTTCGTTTTATTTTAATGCATAAAGTTTAAGGACCTATAGACCAATTGTATTATAATTATTACAAAAACTTTTATTCCGAATTTTTTGTAAATGTTTCCAGACTACAGTCACACGAAAACAAACTTATCCCTTAATAAGCAGTCAATAATTCATAAAAATTCTACCAATTCCATCAATATGGAACTGATTTCAAAAATGTTCTCATAACTGGCCAAATTAATTTATATCAATGAATAATAATTATTCATGTTACTTATTATACAAAATTGTATAAATTGTAAATTTTAAAGCAATAATAAAAATGTATAAAAAAAAAGTATAAGTAAATATCAAAGTTATTTTTAATTACATATTGGTGTTATGTTTTTGAAGGGATCAGAAAAAAATGATCTAATGTTCTGTGATTGCCCTGTAAAAAATTTAATTTATTTTTTGATTAATTTATTTCAAAACAAAAGAACTATATTATTGAAATTAAGTTTTTCTTTTTGTTTTTTTTTTTATGTAAAAATATGTACATGTTATGTAAAGGATTTTATTTTGATAATATTAATGTCGCATTTTATATCATTTTTTTATGTCTAATCTATTCTTATTTATCTATTATTAATTATTAAATATTTCCAATAGAAAATTAGCAACGCATATATTAAAATTAATAGAGGAAACCATACTGTACCAATTAAACTCAACAAGACACTAGTAAAATACAATATAAATTTAATCATCTTCTAATATTATAAAATAGTATTAATTATTATTGTTTTACTAAAATGAATATAGTGTTTCCTTGAACAAAATGAAAGATTACTAATTATTTTTGCAAATTTTAAATTGATCTCATAATCATTTATATATAAAATTATAAAAATGAAAACTTAATAGCTCTTATATAATTTAGCTAAATAATTAAATAAAGAACGTTTTTTATGTTACATTTATAAATTAAATTAATTATAGACAAATAGACTCTTATATCAAGGTTATCTTTTTGAATTAAAAAAAATGTGGTTGTGTATGCGAAATTTTTTTTCTTATAATTTTTTTAAATATATTAAACAAATAATGACAAATTCGTTGAAAATAATTTAAAAGAACACATATGTTTGTTATAAATCGCACTTTTTTTTCGATGATATAATAAAATAAATTTGACTAAATAAAAGCCATTTTTTTATTGTAATAACTTGAGAAAAACATCACGAATAAAAAGTATTTGAAATTTTAAGTCTTTTTAAAATTTGGGAAGTATTAGGAAAATTTTTGAATAAAAAAGAAATTTCGGTATTTTTTGTTGATAATACGATTGTATATGCAATTTTTAACACGCTTATATTAGTTTGTTTGTTTGTTTGTAACTCTCCACGTGCCACGTGTTATTATTCTCGTGTATCCTGTCGTCTATGGCCTTGAAACTAGACTGTCTAGGTGAGTACAAGAACCGTACAGTAGAAATATTTTTACAATATTTATATATTTTTCATAGACTCCTTCATATACTTGCTCAGAGTCAGCGACTTCTACCAGAATTTAGCTTAATGCCCGGATTTACTGGTGCACGTGGACGTATTTAGTCTTTCCAAGGATCACCCTTGCTATTTCACCGATAGGAAGAAGATGTCCGGCTTGTTTTTAGACGAGACCGGTGGCCTCACCAGTATCCATGTAAACAAATTCGATTGCGTTGCCATAATGTGGTTTTAATATGTCATAAAAGTACTTGTACATTAGCGTCTTGATAAAGTTAAGCACAGCTAAACTGACATATATAGGTTAGATAAACTTGACAATCTTTGTGTCCGTTATGACGGCGCACCACCTTTCACCGTATTTGATACAGTCAAATACAAGGTTGATCAAATGAAGATGAAGGTTGGCTGGATTGCGAGCTTTCTTAGACGTTCGGGACTGGAGACTAGCTCAATGCGGATACGCTTCCGTATGTTCTCCATGGTTTTCCCTATAAAATGTAAAAATTTATCGAATAACCCACAACTGCTTTAGCATTGAGTATGCACTTACCAAAGATGCATTATTTATTAGTTTGAAAAATGCTATTTCAAAAGCATTTGCCGCCTGTTTCCGCATTTCAGTGTTCAACTCGATACATGGTTTCAAGCAAGCACTTTGTTGAAAATCTAAAACGCGGTGCACCTGTAGTATAAATATTTATATTAGTATTATTGCTTATAGTTTATAGGTTAATTATACATACTTTATCGACTTGCAGTCCTTGTTTTAAGTTGACATAGTGCACGATGTACCATTGATGGGGTTTCAAAGTGGCCATGAGTTTGGTCTCTTTGGAACCCGGTGGTACATCGTTACCAGGCAAGAACGGCAAGTCGTTGTACTCGTTATGCAGCTCTTGTGGATATGATACGTCCACTTCATATATACGCCTCTTATTACCAGTGTCTGACACCAATTGGAGGTCGGCCAGAGGGTCTGCTCCTTTATACCATCGGAAGCCACCGTACAGCATGGGATGACTCATAGCCTACCTGTAGAGGTTATTGCTTATATACATTAAACGTTTTTAAACCACCGCTCAATTCTCGCATTTATATATAATACTTACAATCTTGATACACAATACATGATTCAGGCTTTGTGGGATCATAGTCAGGTGTTTTGCCATTGTTTGCTTTCGCATAGTACTTGACGGCCTGCATTAGCCCATCACGAATGCCCTGTTTCACCATCAGTAGCATCTCGTAGTCGTTCAAGAGCACCAGCTTCACCCCGGTGTACTTCAACATTCAATCGAAGCTAAAACCGGGCGTGGTGTAATAGTGCGCCGGGTCCAAATTGTATGTTGAAGTACAGATGTCGCGAAAGTTCTCATACACATCAGCCAATAACAACACGTCGATTTTAAGGTATAGGTCACTGTACTCACCAAGGGTTGAGCAGCCGAAACGGTTCCGCATCTCCGTGGCGTGTCTATAGTCGTCGTCATCGATATTAGACTCACTCAACTGACTATAGAAAGCGTCCTGAGGTGGAAGCTCCGTTTCGTCCAATTTAGCCCAACTATCAGTATATTCGTAGGTTTATATGCCCTTACACGTCACCAACGGCTTGTCTTCCGGGTGGAACACCTTGGCTGTCTCCCAGAATTTAACGAAGTCGGGCGTCATTAGGTTACCGGACAAGGTGAACAGGGAGGAGGCCATGAACCGGAAGGTGTCGACAAACCGTATGGAGAAGTTATTGGTCACGTGTTTCGTGACCAAAATATACTTCTCCTCGGAATTCGGTACCAAATCCTTTGGTCGTCGTACCCCAATTCAGTGACGATGAAATGCGCGTCGTAACCTGAAAGGTTGTGCTAGAAGCACGGCATAAAATTTACCGTATTCACTTTCAGGTTACACGCATTGCACAACGTCTGTCTGAATCGGTCCGATAAATGGCAGTGGTATGCGATTTTGGGGTTGGAATCCTTGAATGCCGTGCGGCACAAGTCACATACCGCTTTCTCCCCATGCCTGCGAACATCATCAACAGACATTTGAATGGGAACGTTGGTTTTGCGTAACAAATTAGAAATGTTGTGCGTCACTTCAGTTACAGCTATCACAAATGCTTTGGCGACCTCTTCGCGAAACTCAGACCCACGGTATATTACCGGTGATTGCGGTATACCGTAGCGTTCGAGGAGCTCGGAGGGCACATCGTCCGATGTTTTCACCATAAACCCGTAGCTTATGAGATGGTGTGTGTGTACTGTCCTAGTATAGGCACCCATACGATCATCTGTTTGCTCCAGTAAGGCCTCAAATAACAATACAACTGTAATGGATACAACCTTAAGCTTTTCAAGTAACAAGACATCAATAAAAGCTTTAACATATTCATCCACGATTTGTATTTAATAAGTTATTATAAGTATTAATGATAGAATTCATTATCATAGGATCATTCTCGAACGGAGACGTAAATTCTTTTTACGAAATAAATTTTAAAAAATATTACTAATTTAAATGTCTTTAAAATAAATTAACATAAAATACTATAACAATTAAATCGTAAGCCTACAATAATAATTATTGTATATTATAACTTTATAATTATTGTTGTATTTAAATTATCACTTTGTTGTATTTAAATTATGGAACAATCTTTTTGTTCTAAACTTATAGTTTTAGTAGTTCAATAATAACGCAAAATGTAGTTAATAAAGATATAATCAATCAAAAATAAAACATATAAAATTTTGATACACTTAAAACCGGATAAATAAATAATACACAAAATAAAAACTTAATGTCACAAACGTACCACAGGGAAAGAGATTACCTTCGGTACTCCCGAGGTCTTCTCTTTCTCTCTCTTTCCAATTCATTCCATTTCATCTTATATACTAAAATATTTTGTTTGTCTTTTTATAAAATTCATATAGTAATCATTTTCAAAAAGGTTTATAAATATTTACTTCCTGATCTAGTAACAATAATTCGGGGAATTACAATTAATCCAAACATTACAAAAGTGTTCTACTTCTAGGTTTACAAATAATAGACTATATTATATTTTAGTAATAATAGATCAAGAGATTCATAATGCAATAATTTTCAAATATGTTTATAAATATTTACTTCTTGGTCTAGTAACAATAATTTGGGGAATTACAATTAATCTAAACATTACATAAGTGTTCTACTTCTAGGTTTACAAATAATAGACTATATTATATTTTTGTAATAATAGATCAAGAAATTCATAGTTAAACCAAACATTACAAAAATGCTTTGTTTTCAGTTTTATAAAATAATGACCTATATTACATTATTATAAAATAAAAATATATTTTTTATACTAGGAGTATAATTATTATAAGCTTGATGAATTAATACTTCCAGCATACCCAACATAGTAGCAAACGTACTACAAGGCTCATACAGTATTCTTCACCTACATCAACTATGTTATCTCAAACACTCAACTCGCCTTTTTCATGGGTAATACAATTTTCCACATAATATAGGAACAATTTCAGAGCAATAATTCAACTACAAAAAAACTTAACACAGCCATTAAATGGTATCAAATATAGTGTCTTATAATAAACTAGACTATAATTGACCAAACCGTGTATTAAAAATAATGTTTATCATTTTATAAAAATATTTATTAGGGTAGGAAACATTACATTTAGACAATTCAAAAATAATTTTTAAGTGTAAAATATGATTTTTAGTATACATTTGCATGCTTATTTCGTTTTATTTTAGTGCTAGAATTCGAAGACCTATATGCATGTTATTATATAAATACTATAATTTTTACAAAAACTTTGATTTCATATTTTTCTGAAAATATTTCCAGACTACAGTCACACGAAAATGAACTTGTTTCTTAATATGCAGTCGATAATTTATAAAAAAAATCTACCGATTCCATAAAAAATGTCTAATTAGAACATTTTTTCGTAATTGACTAAATTAATTACTTTTTATTAACTAAACTGTAAGGTTCCGAAATTCAGCTATCCATACTTAGTTATTTTATACTCTTAATTATATATGTAAGATATTAAGCAAATTTGTGTATATTGTAAATTGTTATCTAACAATACAAACGTTTTGAAAAAAAGTATAATTGAATATCATAAATAATTTTAACTACATATTGGGGTAATGTTTTTGAATTTATGATCGTCTGTTGTAATTCCATTGATTTGTGATTGCCCTTTAAAAAATTGAATTTGTTTTATGATTAATTATTTAAAAATATTTGTAAATTAAAGTAAAAGAAATTGTTTTTTGTTATGTAAAAGATTTTATTTTGTTAATATTAATTTAGCGGTTTTATATAATTTTTTTAAATTCTTAAATATTTCCAATAG